ATAGAGCACACATTTGGGTTGATTCACAAATGTCAACAAAGGACAGCTGCTCAACTGTGGGACCCATGACCACGTTTTCCCCCAGCTTCCCTCCACAAAAGCATGCCTTGTTCTGGGAGTGACACACGGTGATATTCCAAAAGGTACCCAGAAGCTGTGAGAGAGTCACAGTGCTGAAATAAAAAGAGCTGGAAAAGTGGAAGGTTTAATCTTTGCAAGGCCTTCATCAACAGTGTGATCCTCCTTAGACTTTCATTTCCATTCACTGGGGTCATTGATGCTACAGCAGTGCTGTATAGAGCATAAACTGGCCTTTTATTTACGTAGTGGGCATGGCCAAATAACAAATGATTAAAATTATGAGGGGAAAGGAGTTGCTTTGTCACATTTACTGTGCTCAGCCTTGTCATACTTGGCTCTTGGTGCAGACAGCTCTCACTCTGAAAAATTTTCCTCATTAGCTGGCCCTAAAACATTTACAGAGCATCTGAATAATTGATATAATTTATGGTTTTATTGGTGGGAGCCACTAAATCCCCTCTCCCCAAACAACATTAGAGAGGAAGCTCTGCAACATGCAGTAAAAAGTGGAGCAGCTATTTAAAGAAAGAAAAGGGCAAGAAAATCTTCATGTGCTCTCTGAACATGGTAACCTTGAACAAGGCAGAGTTTGCAAACATCCACTTGTAAAACTACTGCAAAGGAAATGGAGCCAGTGTGCTGGTGGGGTTACAGGCTTTTCAGAGAAAGTTTTACAAGGTCTACCTTTGAAAAAACAACAATTACTATTGCTACTTGGTCTGTCTACTGCTATTGATTGTTATTGATAATGTCTACTCTGAATTAGTGGTATTACTGCACACCTTGCATTTTGATCTGCAAGTGAAATGATGGGAAAGGTGGCAAATGCTCAGGTAACAGTCTCTACTACATAGGCTTGTGTGGGTAACTTGTTTTCTTCTGCTCTATTCTGTTTAGGATTATATAAAGACACTAGCTAATAGAGATGATTCACAGGCTTTATCTAACCAACGTAGGTCTATATCAAGCAGACATATATACCTGAAATAGCCACCCAAAACTCCAGTCTTGGTCAAAAATGAGAGACTGGAATTTTTAAGGTACAGTTCATTTGACTATAGTATAGATATCTACCTTCCACTTAGATACATTTTGTCCTAAAAATGCTAATTTCTTACCATTAATTTAAAAAAAAACACATGTACATAATATTTTTTAAGTTAGGTGAGATGAAACCTTCTCCAAAAAAATCAGGGTCTATCTATACTGTCCTAGATGTACACAGTAGTGACTATGGAGCATGGAGCATGGACATGGTAGTTAAAGAAGCTGGAGATATAGTATTGTTTGATAAGTCCTTACCAAAGCAGGTGATGTAAGTCTTTTAGTTGAGCAAACATATGAGTTTTGAAGCTATATTATGAGCTGGGAAAAAACATAGCTGGTAACAGTTTTTGAGTTTGGTAGAAGAACCTCTTAAAGCAATGGATGTGCCTATGATATCATGAAGTACTGAGTTTTGCAGACCCCAGCTCCTACAAGCGTGTAACTCAGCAATATTTTTAACTGAAAATTAGATGTGAAAGGTTCCTTATATAGTGCAAAGGAGAAATAAGCACCTAGGGATGAGGTGCACACTAGAGCCTGCTGAGTGAAGAGTTTCCTGTGGAGATAAGTGGGAAATGGCTGAGGAGCTCTTAGAAAAAGGCATTTCATTGACATGTGAGACATTACAGTAAGAAGGTACAGCATCTGGTAGGCAAGTGGTTATAACACTCACCTGGAATGTGCAGATCAAATTCACATCCTTTCTGTGCTCATCTCACGGAGGAAATTGTTCAAGCACAATAAAATACTCTGTGATAGGGCCTTCTCAATCCCTGCATGTGTTTGGGACATGGAGACAGAATGACTTCATATTCCACTGCTTAAGATTTGCATCTAGGAAGGGGAGACTCTGTTCCTAGTCCCCAAGCCAATGGATTTTTAAGTGTTTTCATACAAAGTGGAACAGCTTCAGCAAGGGTGGTTGAGAGAGGTTCACTTCAGATCGGTCTACGATCTGGTAGATGTAACCATTTCCTAGTTGAAGGAAGACACAGGTTGGAGTCAGCTAAAGCAGACACAGGCCCTAAATTCCACCAAATCTTTGCATTGTTCATGCTTTAGATACCAAAGTGCTGGTCTAAAATCTGGGCACTCACTTTAGGACTTCTTTGGAAACGTGTACCAGGTGAGGCCCTCCTAGGCTTGGTGTAATAGATCCATGTCATTTTCCATGCATAGGGATGCCTAGAAAAAAGTCTGACTTCAGAAAATTGCATGGGCTTTTAGGCTTTTAGCAGCATAATTCTGTACATACTGGGGATACATAGATAAAATTACGTCAAATGATTTGAAAACAAAGGGATCATCAGGATTTCACCATTTATTTATTTTTAATGTGCTGTTTTCACACTTAAAGCTGTGCCATGGTATGGTAACAGCTAAACAATAAAACAAGCTACGTACCTGCCAAGTATATCGTGATCCTCTGATTCCAGCCCAGCAGGCTGGAATTAAAATAATCCAGCTGGCTCAGCAGTTGTGTGGATGCCATTTATGGCAGCACTGTGTAAGTGGCAGGAAGGCTAACTCAGGGCTTCCTTTATTATTTTGCCCTCCCTGCTTTAAGCCCGCTAGGACAGGATTTGCACAGTCAGACATGCTGATTCTTGTAGCTTCAGCACCCTGCATTGTGCTGTCTCTGGCAGCACAGTCCAGCTGTTTATGCATGTCTAATACATCTCCTAAGGGCATTTGTAAAGGAAAACAAGCTGCTCCTTCAAGGAAGGTAACAAACAATCTAAACTCAGCTGCATTTTACAGATATTACAGTGACTTGATTCCTACTGCGCCTCAACCTGTGGCACAGAGTGTCTGGGACATTGTCGAGTTTTCACTGGGTTTCACAGCTGTTCAGGAAAGATGTAACTTGTAAGATTTTTTTATGTGTGGGAGAGAAAAATGCATACCTGCTGTGTATCTAATTGAAAGGCATAGATTCATAGTGACACCTTAGCCTGCTAGATCTTCCTCTTCCATCTCAGCCTGTGCATGTTGTATTGTGGGCATTGCAGTGGGCATGGCAGTGTGGAGCTGGAGTATAGCCTCAGCTACAGAAATGTATGTTCCCGTGGTGCAGGCTGAATAACAATATTTGACTCCTCTGAAATGTCCTGCTCAGTATCCAGGATCTGCAGGATGGAGCTCTGTACCCTTTCTGCCATGCTTTAAAAGCCAGTTCCTCTGCTCATATTGCTTGCTGGAGCACGTAGTGCAGTATATTACATTTGACATTAACAAAAAATGTTCTAGAGACTTTGAAAAGTAATGCTATTCAAGCACATGGTAAACAGGAGCAAAATCTACTGAAATAGGTGTGCTTCCCTTCATCATGAAATGGTAGCCACAACCATAAGAGCAAGGTCATGTTGAACAGTGTGTGCAAAGGGTAGAGGTGGAGTTTTCCAAGGTGGCGACTGGAAACATTAGAGTGGTAGATGCACAACACATCCTTTTCTGCTGTCTTTTCAGACCACTGTATGTTTTGACTGCATTGAAATGTTTGGCCTGCTGGGTATTATTCAGACTTTAATTTTATTATTCAGGCTATAATCAAATACCTTTGATTATAATTTTTCAGAATTTAGGTACGAACCATTTTGCTTATCTTGATTCAGTTGTATGGTGGTGCCATTTGAGGTGACCTTGGGTATCTGAGACATCTCCAGAGGACTGGTTATTATAATACTGGACATTTGTGCTCTGCTGGATTAGCAAATGGAGGCTACGTACCTAATGTGGAAGTATGTGATGCTTTTATTTACACAATGGAGTAAAGCCCTGTGTGTCTATGCTTAGACAGTGGTTCTAAGCTCCTCTTTACAGACATGAGAATGAAGAAGCACTATTCGGGTGTCATTCATCACATCCCAAAGAAGACATCTAAAACAGTTCAGATACATTGCATCCTAGAAATGCCTGTTCTTCTTCATCCCTCGATTTATTAATATCAAAGGAGTTTAGACAACTATCTCACGTGTATGTTGTAGACATTAAAATTCAGATTATTTTAATTCCACCCTGGATGTAATACCTGATAAACAAAAGAGACAACCTGCTGTTGCCTAATCGTAAGATCTTTGCTTAAAAACTGCAAGACTACAAAGAACGGCAGAGACCAAATACAGCTATGGAGGACAATATGCATAGTGTGTAGCTCATTAATTGGCTACTGTTTTGCCCACTGTGTGGGTAATACGATAAAAATCTTGTGACACTGCAGTGCTGTAATACATCTGATTTTATTGTGGACCAGTCAATTCAAATCAGAATAGGCTTTTAGTAGAACAGAGGCATTTGGTATTTGGGTATTTGTAGTAGATAATATCTATGAAGGTTTATTTTTCTTATAGAGTTGTCATGCAACTAGGATTGAATATTTAATAACACATATATTAGTAAAGTCATATCAACCAATAGGATACAGTACCCTGAGTTTATTTTGAGGTTATGGATACCAAACATAGCTAATTAATCAATACGGTAATTGGTTCATAAAAGATGAAAAAGCTGAAAATTATAAACTTTCTAGAGCTGTTTTTCAATGGGTATTGTATCACGCCCTGTATTCGTATTCTTTCTGATAAGCTGTGATTGTGACTTGTATTTTGTTAGACTAATCCTGATTCTTTTCCTAAAGGCAGTAGCCCGTAATTTGTGTATTCTTTGTGAACACGCATTTCCATTAATAGCTGGATTATTTATTTGTTATAAGCCCATAAACTAACAAACCAAAACACAAAACAAGAAAAAATCCCACCTCATTGAACAACTGGAATTCATGCAGTGCAGAAAAGTGTTTATTTTTTCACGTCAATATCTTCAGCTCATGAAGAAGTTTGAAATATAACAAGCCGTGTCTTATTTCTTTATAGGTCTCCTATGTAAAAGCTATCGACATCTGGATGGCCGTGTGCCTTCTCTTTGTCTTTGCTGCATTACTGGAATATGCAGCAGTCAACTTTGTTTCACGGCAGCACAAGGAGTTTCTGAGGCTTCGAAGAAGGCAAAGGCGACAAAACAAGGTACAGCTGCTCTTTACTTGGGGTGACCGAGTCTGCCCTGACAGCATGCTGATGTGCAGTTGATTTCTCACCTCGGTTCTTCTTGCTCTTGCAGGAGAGTCTTATTCTAAAGTTTCCTTTTGAGTGATTTACTCCTTGATAAAGAGCTGAAAACTGGCTGCTGGGTTTATTTGCAGTTTATGAAGTTATTGATAAATGTCAATAGATTGGTCACTGATTCCAAGAATTCTATTCTCTTCTTGCAATTGCTGAGGCAGCTGTACCTTAACCTGTGAAATTAGATTTTCTTCTAATCCCCAAATACTATGCTATTTTGTGGCACCCACCAGCAGATAAGGAACAGTTGGAAGCAATGACATAGATAGAGTACCAATATTATTTCCTTGACATCATCCAGATGGGCTGACATCAGCAAATGCTTAAGACCTGTCTTTTCTATTGCTATCCTAGCTAGTCATGCTAAAATGGGAGATTCCTTAGGGTAGCCCATTGCAGAGTTCAGCAGTTCTGCCCTCACTTCTAAACCACCAACGACTGGTGTCTTTCCCAGCTGAAACCAGGAAACATGGCCACTTTGAAAAAGAGGATTAGGACAATTTCCTCTCCACATTCTACTATTTCACAGTTTGTTACTGATACTACAAATTTTTAGCAAAGGGACTATTTGTGAGTATCGTTATCACATCATTTTATACCAGTGACTGAAATGTAGGAAAGAGGCTTGTTTTTAACCCAGATGTCAGTCTAGAAATATTTTTAGGAAGTCTGTCCACCTTTTCTGATTTTTTCTTTGGTAAATGGAAAGACAATAATAGACATTAAATTGAATTTTAGTCCAGTTGTGATCATTCCCACAACTGTAAAGGCTTCATCCTTCCTGTATCTATGTCACTGGTTTTCAGTATCAGTAGAAACATTTAGGTTTACGCTGTACATATGCATTTGCTAGGTGAAGTAAATATTTGCTTGAGCTGCGCGAGTGCTTCAAGCCACAAATAATGGTTTCCTTTACAAGAGGGATGACAACAATGGCACAGGGCATTTGTGTTTTGACAGGTCTGTCTAATAAATGTTCTGTAGCTAATGTAATACTTGATGGATGCTCTGGGAAGCAATCCAGTGCTGTCCTCTGGTTTAATATTATTGTCAGGTGAATTGAGATTCCCGTTAAGTTTAGATTACAGAAGAGAGCAGAAATGCTTGCCCATCTGCAGGCACACATGCCAGATGCACTGCCGCTGGAAGCCTTTGTTTCCAAAAACAGCATGGCAGCAGCAGAAGCTGCTGTATGGGGTCTGTAATTTCAGGTTTGGATACGATGTCTTCTTTAGAGATTAACAAGTAGGCAAGAAGCCACAATTGGTAAGTAACAGTATCCAGTGGCATCACTCAAAAATTATGAGGTTTTGGTCCATGGAAGTGGTCATTCATCTGCTGTGGGAATGATTATTTTGGTGACTATTAAAAGAAAGTTATTTAAAACCAAATCACCAGAAGACCTGTGTTTATCCTAAGCCAGTTGGTACATGGATTCTTTGCAAAATGGGTAATGCCCTAGTTAAATAGAAGGAAATATTCTGCTGGAGTAAGAGACACCTATCCATTTGCACAGACCTGCTTTCACTTTTCCTATGAATCTGCTTGCACGGATTTCAAAATAGGGAATAATGTTACTAAGGCCATCTCTTTAGGAGGTGTTTTCTGCATCTCTTTACTGGAGTTTGTCTCTCACAATTTTCTCAGTTTATTTTGTCTTGAAAGTGATTCACGTTGTTTTGCATGATGGTCTTCTCTAACTGAGCCATTCTTCTCTTTGCGTGTTGTGTATGTGTGTCATTGTGTTACCGCTCTGATATTCTCATTCTTGCTGCTGCTATCTATGCTGACACTCTGGGGACAGGCACAGACTATGACTGTTGGGAATGAAAGCGTCGAGTCCGTGCGGCGCATGAATGGCTTGCGGAGCAAAGAGTCATCAGCTTACGGGACAGTGAATCAGATCGGCAATTCAAGTTTGAGGGTAAAACTGTAGTGAGAAAGAGAAAGCAAGAGAGAGTTTTAGTATGTGCAGTGATGTCATAAATCAGCAAAATGGTTGATTTTGATGGCATCACTAGTAGTCTCTTGTATTCTCTTTGCTATATGTCCTCACAAAATATACAATACTGTCCCCAGCATGAACAGCAGTTTCATGTTGTATATTCTTGGGGTCCATCCTTATGCTTGCTTTTTTCCATCGTTGGCTTGTGCCACCCCCATTCCAAACATCCCAAGGAAAGCAAATGTATATTTGGTAGCCTGGTCCTGTATAAATATAAGGTGAATGGGGGGGACAGGAGCATACAAAATGCCTTGAGACAGAAAATCCCATCCCTGGAGGATTCTTTCAGATGAGCGCATTCCAACAAAACTTGGTATGTATAACGAAATGCATTTTTATTGGTATGATATTTATTCCTGAACCGTCAACCTGCAGTGTTCCTCCTCGTAATGTCCTGAGCCCTGCTTAGTGGAGTATGAATATCTATGAATGAAAAACTGTATTTCATTGGTTTCTTTTTACTTGCTTGGAGAAGAGCCATGGAGTTGAAATCTTTTACAGAGCATAATGTGTAGCAGATCTGAAGCAATATGATAGCAGCTGATAGATCCAGATTATGGGTGAGTTATGGAGGTAATAAAACCAGCGATGGAGAGAGAAATGAGCTTAGTGTGCAGCTCACTGCTTGCTACTGGTGGCTGAGAAATGAAATTTATTCATTTAAATAAAATGGGACCAGGATTTAAATCTCTCAGGACCTGATTTCCCAGAACAAAAATATTGCCTAAGCAGCTTTTGAGCTGGAATGGGCCTCTGACTTTGATCAAGGTCTGTAAAGTTATGTGATTATAAGATGCAGATGATTTCAATGGATTTTGTACACTGTAAAGGGAATTAGTAGCTTTCAAAAATCAAAGCAAAAATCACAGTTCATGTTACACAGCAAAATTAGGATGGAGGGTTTGCAATGCAATAAATTGCTCACTTTCAGAGCTATGATATCAAGCAGTAGAAGAGAGCCTTCATTTCTGGATACTTTCTACTGTAGAAATAATCATATTTACACATATACAAAACTGAACATAAAAAGAAAAAATTCAGGGTCTCTCTAGAAGATAGGACCGATATTACTATGCTGTCACTGGAAAGCTAATGCCATACAACTACAAAAACAGTCCAAGTAAGTACTCAGTGTTGCGTGTCTTATCAGTCACAAAGTGCTAGTAGTCCAGGTTCACATAAGGCTCGGTTACCCTCTCGCTAAGGAACGCTTGCAGAAACCTCTCTTCTGCTTTTGAATATTGTGTATTACATATACAGCCAGGACTGTGCACGGAGAGGTCATGTTGCTGCAGTACTTTTGCTGCAAAGCCCTAAGAGCTGGAGCTGCACTGGCGTTGATTTCCCCTGGAGAACTCCCACCACAGAAGCGATACGCTCTTGAGTGGTGAACAGAGGAGACATACCAAGATGGAGGTTTCTGGACCAATGCTACCATAGCTGCAGCTTGGTACTTTTCTGCTCAAGAGAAGGACATTTGTGTGCAGAGGAGAACAGAGCAACATAGCCTGTGGTGCCACAAGAAGCCTCACAAGCAGGGAGCTTGACTTGCTGAGGTATTGCTCACTGAACTAGGGTTTATGGTGAATGCGAATCTAAAAGTCACAGGCAAGTGACTGTGACACAGTCAAGAGGAGACAGTGTAAAAAAGACATGATTGAATATTTATACTGCATCATTCAGTGCTAATCTGGGGAGAGAAAAAATAGGCACCAAACCATGCCTGATCAGGATTCCTGGGTTTAGCAGCTAGATCTATGAAACAAGAAAAATACTCTTCTCAGTTTTGTAAGCCTATATCTCTGTCACTGCTTTCATTATTGCTTCTGCTGGGTCATCTTCTTCTTAGTGGCGCAACCTTCAGAGCATTGCATGAAAGCACAAGACACCTTAAGAGACCATCAGATCTCTTAAGCCAAAGATCAGACTGGTTAATGTTTCTCTAGGGAAGTCTGGGTTGTGTTGTTGATGGTGCAGAAATTGTATTTACAGCTGAACCATTGATCTGTCATTGCATTATAACAGATTGCACTATCAGGATCTGTTGCCATCTTCCATACAGGATAAATCCCTACATCCTCAAGAAATCAGTGCTTCAACCTGTTTGCCTTCCCCATGCAGTTTCTGTTGGAGGAAGCATTCAATGATTGTCCTAAAGATTTGTGTAGTCTTCCTGCTTACAGTGAAATACACCCAACAGTAGCAATACTTCACTACTGAGAGAAATGGTTGCCTATTTCTTATACATCATGATACTACTTTTTGCATAGAGAGAGTACAGGCTGCAGAAGCTGTGAGTCTGATGGTACTGTGGATGTCATTATATTAAAATCTAAATTTGCATAGTGCCAGATCACCTGAAAGAAAGGAACTTCATTTTTAAATATGATTTGTAATAATCAAACAAGATTTGCTTATTTTTCAAAATGGTGTGTTTCCAGGGATGCAGAACTCTGTTTACAGAGGTTCAGTCAACCCTTTTTGAAAACAGTAATTATTATATGATCAGTAGAAAAAATGACTCACAGTACACTAGTATTCATACCGTCATCCCAAAGATGACTTCCTAAATTATACGTGTGATGGTTACCACTGTGACCAAGAATAGGGGTTAAGTTTGGGACCATTAGTGTTAAAAGTAATACTTTATAGCTTGAACAAAAAACTGTGCAGCTGGAGGCTGTGACAGACTTTAATCCCATGTGCAGGGAACACAGAGCAATACAAATAACAATGCTGCAGCCAGGGGGGTTCACATGCATGCAGATTAGCAAAGGGAGGCACAAATGGCATTTTCAAATGAAAGAGCTGGGACTGAGACCAAGTGACTACAGCAGCAAAGAATAACTCCACTAAGCAAAGATGGCAGCACCCGGACGAGTGCTTCAGAGAACTGCTG